GAAGAATTAGGAGAAGAATTAGAAGAAGAATTAGAAGAAGAGTTAGAAGAAGAATTAGAAGAAGAAGAATTAGAAGAAGAAGAATTAGAAGAAGAAGAATTAGAAGAAGAATAAGAAGAAGAATTAGAAGAAGAATTAGAAGAAGAAGAAGAATTAGAAGAAGAAGAAGAATAAGAAGAATTAGAATTAGAAGAAGAATTAGAAGAAGAAGAATTAGAAGAAGAATAAGAAGAAGAATTAGAAGAAGAATTAGAAGAAGAATTAGAAGAAGAATTAGAAGAAGAATTAGAAGAAGAAGAATTAGAAGAAGAATTAGAAGAAGAATTAGATGAAGAATTAGAAGAAGAATTAGAAGAAGAGTTAGAAGAAGAATTAGGAGAAGAATTAGAAGAAGAATTAGAAGAAGAGTTAGAAGAAGAATTAGAAGAAGAAGAATTAGAAGAAGAATTAGAAGAAGAGTTAGAAGAAGAATTAGGAGAAGAATAAGAAGAAGAATTAGAAGAAGAGTTAGAAGAAGAATTAGAAGAAGAATTAGGAGAAGAATTAGAAGAAGAATTAGAAGAAGAGTTAGAAGAAGAAGAAGAATTAGAAGAAGAAGAAGAATTAGAAGAATAAGAAGAATTAGAATTAGAAGAATAAAAAAAGAAGAAGAAGAATTAGAAGAAGAAGAAGAAGAAGAATTAGAATTAGAAGAAGAATTAGAAGAAGAATTAGAAGAAGAAGAAGAAGAATTAGAAGAAGAAGAAGAATTAGACGAAGAATTAGAAGAAGAATTAGAAGAAGAAGAATTAGAAGAAGTAGAAGAAGAAGAATAAGAAGAAGAAGAATTAGAAGAAGAAGAATTAGAAGAAGAATAAGAAGAAAAAGAATTAGAAGAAGAAGAATTAGAAGAATTAGAAGAAGAAGAATAAGAAGAAGAAGAATTAGAAGAAGAAGAATCAGAAGAAGAAGAATAAGAAGAAGAAGAATTAGAAGAAGAAGAATTAGAAGAAGAATTAGAAGAAGAAGAATTAGAAGAAGAAGAATTAGAAGAAGAAGAATTAGAAGAAGAATTAGAAGAAGAGTTAGAAGAAGAATTAGAAGAAGAAGAATTAGAAGAAGAAGAATTAGAAGAAGAAGAATTAGAAGAAGAATTAGAAGAAGAGTTAGAAGAAGAATTAGAAGAAGAATTAGAAGAAGAATCAGAAGAAGAAAAATTAGAAGAAGAAGAATTAGAAGAAGAAGAATCAGAAGAAAAAGAATTAGAAGAAGAAGAATTAGAAGAAGAATAAGAACAAGAAGTAGAATTAGAAGAAGAAAATTAGAAGAAGAAGAAGAATGAGAAGAAGTATTAGAAGAAGAAGAAGAATTAGAAGAAGAAGAATAAGAATTAGAAGAATTAAAAAAAGAAGAAGAATTAGAAGAAGAAGAAGAATTAGAATTAGAAGAAGAATTAGAAGAAGAAGAATTAGAAGAAGAATTAGAAGAAGAAGAATTAGAAGAAGAATTAGAAGAAGAATTAGAAGAAGAATTAGAAGAAGAATTAGAAGA